TTAATAATCCGTCCAATGGGGCTGTGGATTTAGGTTCTCTTAAGCGGACAGCGAGGGAAATCTGAGTATATGTATATACCTGACATAATGAATGCGTGCATTTATATTTTAAGAACCCAGCTACCTAAATATCATGGACTAAGAGTATTTAATTATTTATGAATTTCTATTTATTTTCAGATTTAAATCAATATGTTCAGGAAATTTTTAAGATCAAATCATTCCAATTGCAATAATTTATTTATTTATACAATAACCAATTGGTAAGTGAAGATACAACATTTTATAGCCATAAACTTTACATATAAATGGGTAACATAAGAATATTATATATTGATGCATATCCATCAGATAGAAAGGTCGGCAGGGTGAATCCTCCTCAGTCTACTTCACTCCGTTGGTATTCTAAGCCTTGTTTTCTTTCATTTGGTTCCGTTGGTTACTTAGTTGGAGATTTCCTGCTCTATAAGCAAGCTCATATGTTGGCGCTGGGTACAGGGTACTTCCTAGTCGCTCACATTTAACTGAAGCCCAATTACATGTGCGTTTAATTACTTATAATCCACTATGACTGTTATAAATTGAAAAATGTATATATTATCATGTTCCCCTCGTTGGATATCCACTCAATATTTAATTTTTCATTGTCCCAGTTTAAAGCTTTATACGCAATCAATTTGCAAATTTTCCAACCAGAAGAAAACCGCGAACTCTTCCTGGCCTGCATCTGGCAGTGGCATTAAAAAGCTTTTGGGTTTGACAAACGCAATTGAACGAAATAAGAGCGTGTTGGCTTTTGGGAGTGGGTCCAGCATAGTAGCCAGAGGGCTATTCAATTGTTGCCACAGTCCGTGGCACGTCCAGCTCTGTGCCACCATGCCCTGACCAATCGACCGTACATATCGGCATCAGCATCGACATCGACACTGGGCATCGGGGCTGATGGTGTGGTAGTCTGTAGGTCTGGCGTTCTGGCTGGGCATACAAACATATTTGTAAAACTACTCAACATAATGGTCATGGAGTGCCATTCAGACGCACCAAACACGAAGCACACCACGGCCAAGGGACTGGCTCAGCGGTGGTCGTGGCTAACAATAAACAAAACATTAAACTAATAGCGGAGCATTGGGATGGGCTGGCCAGAAGAGCAGGATGTGCAGAGAGTGGGCCGCGCGACAGCGGATTTCATTTTGAATGCTAGGCAAACTTTTTGTGCCCACTTGTTTGTAATATTTTAAACAACTAACGGTTGCTGAGCGGCAAACAGCAGCAGGCACATGGCGAGCTGACGCCGCAAAGACAACCACACAGCGAACCACGGACCACGGACCACGGACCACTGGACTAGTGGACAGTGTGGACACATCAACAGGCACCAACATCAGCCATGCAGAGGCTCATCAATGGAGGCAAATAAATAATGCAAACGGCAATTTGAGTCACAGCGCGCAGGACGATGATGCACATTGTGTTGGTCTAGGAGCAGGCTGGCGGGGAAGGTAGACGAGGTGTGCGGCTTGAAACTGGATAGGGGAATAGGGGCGGTCAGACAGCCCGCTGCTCACACATTTGCCTGCATCTTTTGAGTCAAAGGAATGTGTTTCATGAATTTTAAATTGCATACCAAATTGCAAAAAGATTGATATCCAATCTCACGCAAGGCGGCGAGCCTGCCAGCCTGCCAGATCGCCAGCCAGCTACAGACAGGTTGCTATTCCACTTGACAGTGGCTAGTGTCTGCTGTTGCTGCCGCTGCTGCTGCAGCTGCTGATGAGGCTGATGCAGGTGGGAGGCGCAGCAAGGCGCTACAATGTGGACGACTCCCAGCCAGAGTAAGAGTCAGAGCCACAGTCACAGGCACTTGGCGACAACAAACATGCGACAACGCGGCTGTGTCCGCGTCTGGCCAGCCACTTTGATCATATGGGGCCAGACGTGGCTGGTCCCCATTGATTGGCATTGGTTCGATAGTCCAGTCGGTTTCCCGCAGGCTATTTGCTGGCTGTCCTACGTCTCTCTCTCTCTCTCTCTCTCTCTGTCTGTTTCACACTCTCTATCCCGTTCTTCCCGCCAACAGCTGCTGTCCAGTGTCGCTCTCCGTGCAGAAGCTTGTGCACACATTTAAAATGTATGCCTTCCGTTTGCGCATTTCAAGCATCGGAAAATTGTGATTTGTGACTTAATGTATTTATACAAGTCAATGTAGCTCGGCACAGAGGACTCTGGCAACCACCGAATGCGATTGTGGGGTTGCGATGGCGATGCTGAATGCATTTAGTAGCTTACCAGTTCCCCAGCTGTCCGACTGTCCGCTCGTCCCAGCTGCTGTTGCAGTTATACAAACTAATTTCATATGTAAGTGGTGTAAATATAATTTTCTGGACGTGTCTGTCCCAGTCGCTGGACTGGATTCTGTGTGTGTGTGTGTGTGTGTGTGTGCCTGCCGTTGGCAATAATTTGTAAAGGTTTTTCAGCTTCTTCTTATTAATGCGGGGTTTTCTGAAATGGACAAATGCCAATATGTTGCAGTTGATGGCTGCCGCCACGTTGAATGTGATGTCTGTGGGAAAGCACGGCTTGGAATGAGTTATTGTGGCAGATAAAATTAACTTGAGTGACATGTGTTCCAATTAAAATGATGTAGGAATTAGGACCGAGAGCTGTTTAGTTAAATCAAAGCTTTCAAATTGGACCATTTGCTTAACAAGCAATTATAAATGGTTCATTATTGAGTTGTTTTTCTGATTTTGTTTTATTTTTCTAGTTATAAGTATTAACCGACATTTATAATATACGATCAGTTTAATTATTTATTCTAAGCGCAAGGCAAATTAGACGCTGGTAATGGAAACATTTCCATTGCAGGAGCTGGCAATTTATGATGTGCTATCTGCCGTAAAAGCCAACCAACACTCTAGATTAGGCCGCATACCAAACACACTGCCTGACACTTGGCTGGGCAAGACAAAAACTCAAACTCAATATGCATAATTGTGTCTGCCAGGCATTACTAATTGATGTCCCGTTCTGGTCATGTCCAACCGGCAAACAAAGCGCAAATCAATCAGCTAACAAGTATCAATCAGCCAAAGTAGTCAACGCAGCTAGCAAACAGCAGCAGCATTAATAACAACAACAACAAAAACAACAACCTCAAGCCAAAAGTGAACATTATCGCTAAAATGAATCTTGAAGTGGGACTTGGCTTGGACTTGGACTGGCAGCATGTATGGGCCATCATATTAATTATGTTTATAATTTGCACAACTGTTAACACGCTCTATTAATTCCGGCTGTCGGTTGTTAGCTGTCGGTTGCTGGCCTGGCCTGGCCTGGCCTAAGCTGAAGTGAACTGAGCTGAGCCTTGGGGCAGGTAACGTGCCTCCGTCTCGTGCCCGTGGCCAGGCGATAAGCGCTAGCTGCGCAATTTACACACTTTATTAACGTATTAACGCATCAGGCACAAGAGTTAACAGCATTTGCTATTGTTGGCCAAGTTGCTATAGGTTTAACCAACCGCCCGACCGGATGTGCAATGCCAAGGTGCAATGCTGGGTGGGAGGCGATGGAGTGCAGCGCACGCTTAAATGCACTTCACTTCCTTTTATTGTAATTGCATTGTAATTGCAAAATAACGGTGCTGCGAGTCAAACAAATGATGCCACCCACCCTCTCGGTGTGCCCCCTCGGACCGCTACATTCGGTTCTCATTGCCACATCCACATCCTCAACAATTTGCTCAGGCGCCGTGTAATATACACATTTGCTTTATAATATATTATAATCATGATTATATATGCATTGCATGCGATCTGCCGCGCCATAAATCGCACCCGAGCAGCCAAAGCAACTCCCCCACTATCCGATTATTTCACAACCCGACTATCCGACTATCCGTATCTTGGCATGCATAATTCATTGCAGATCAATGGGTTGCGACTGCTGTTGCGGCTGTTGTTGTTGTTGTTGTTGTGGCGGCTGCTGTTGCCTGGCCACACAAAATGCTTGGCAAATATGTTCAAGGCTGGGGGCCAAAATGGCACAACTAGCTACCAAGTTTGGTGGGACGCCGGGCACTTGCAAGATCTGAGCTAAAAAAAAAAAAGAAACAAAAAACAAAAACGTGCCAAGAACTATGCAAAAATTATGGCTCATAGCGCACTTGAATGGGGCACCATGAGGATGTTCAATATTGGCCTCTATTCCCAGCCCGCACGCCCCCTCCTTCCTTCCTGCCATGGCATTTAGCCACACTAAAGAGGTTTCAATTACGGCCACCACAGCTACCGGCGGCCAAAGGCCCACAGCAGCTACCAAGTCGGGCCGACGTATGGCCATCAAAGCACTGCAGCAAAAATTACTGTAATTCACATCACTTAGAGCGCATATTAATGGCCATCGAATGGCCATCGAATGCTGCATGGGCAGCCGTGGACCATTGCAGTTTTCAAGTATTTGCAACGGCGCGCCGGTAGAGGCTATATTTTTGCATATATACATTGATAGACCAGACGCGCCCTGCGGGCCACTTAAATAGACTTAAAGTTCAGCTACGACTAGAGATGGACGCGTGATAGTAGCTCACGTTGATGTAGAAATACGCACACGTCTCCTAAGACTAGCTTTCAGGGAATACAATGATTTGTTTTAGACTTTATGTAATTTATATATTATCAGTTATCAATGTGAAACATATGCAATCAATTTGTCAGGATAGTTGTTCTATAGGAGAGCCTTTATACCATTTTATTGTCTCTAACTCAATCTTTATGAGATTTGTTTATAAAACCTATTTCCAAAATCGATTTTTATCGCTATTGTGAAAATTTAGGGATATATCAAAAAAAGAGCTCAATGAAATGATATACGAGTATATGTGTTTCAAATTTAGAAGTCTTAAGCTTATATTTTTCTGAAATCGGAATGTTCAGACATATAAACTGTCAGCTTATTTATAAGGTGTGTCTTGCCAATTGGACTTGCCAATATCGATTTCATTCGAGGTATTCCTAAATGCTAACACTTTATTTATTTAATTTGTATAGGAAAACAATTTTAATCAATGCCTCGTTGAATGTTTTACATTTTAGCATGTTGACATGCCACGGCTGTCAACAGCTGACAGACAGGCAACAGCTAGAGGTAGAGCTCCAACTGCCTCCACTGGCGGCAACTCATTATGGCCCGTTGACGATGACCAACTTGGGCAAACGGAATGAGTTGCATAGTCAATGCTGGCGATGGTCAGACTCGGCCTCAGCCTCGGTCTCGGTCGCGGTCTCAAGACACAAACTCTGACTAAAACAGTGGAGATCTGCGGCCAGTGCCATTGCAGCTCCATTGGCGATACAAAGTGCGTTTCGATCGTTTGCTGCTTGCTGCTTGAAAATTCCTAGAAAATGTGCACATTTCATCATCATTTTGAGACATGTGCTCCATTTCGCGTTGCCGGCTGCTGCCATAAATGACTGACATAACTAAGTGAAGATGAATGCGCGTTGCCTGCAGCGCACAGATATCAATCATATTCGAGATACAGTAGCTCTGTCTGTGGACCAGTTGTGGCCATGGTCAGTACCGTGCCATACCGTCTGCCATGGAGCTGCGCACCGGACCATAATTATATTATGTGGCATGAATTATTAGACCATATTGGAGCGGGGCTAATGCATTTCTGGGAAATGCGCTCCGGCCATACCAAGCGACCAGAGAGGCCTGGAAATGATATTGCCTTAATGATGGTAATGACTGCATTGGTGGCAGCTCCATGGCTTCTCTTCCACCTGCTCATCCTCTTCACTCCACTCCACTCCACTCCACTCCACTCTCTCTTGTTCTCTGAGCGTTTTTGGTGCCCAGCTTGCGCCCAAAATTGGTCAATGTAACGTTAATTAAATCAAAGTGTTGTTTATGTTCACTGAGCGGGATCGGGGCCAGGCTGAAGTGGGCAGTGGGATGGTCGCCAGAGGGTAGGGGAATAGGCATGACAAATAGATACAAATGGCTATTGGCACGTACGTGTCGCTTGTCATTAGCCAGACCGTCTTTTATATGCAACACTTGACTAGAAAGCAGCTCAGAGCTCTGAGTTTTCCATCAGCTGGCGGCTAAACAAATAGCTTGGGGGCGTGTCTGTTGCGTTACGCCCACAAATTACATGGAACCGTGACCAAGAAGTCATTTGGGTTTGGGGTAAGGCACACGCACTGCTTAATTTGCATGCATCGCGATAATGACAAGAACTTCGACTTCAACTTTGACTCCAGCTCCGTTATGCAAAATTAGATGCGTGCTGCATGTGTTTTGTGGGCGTGGCATGCGCCACTCTGTTGCATATTTGCTGGCAGCTGTGCAATATGAATGCGAATGATTAGCCGAGTACGGTTTGAGGTCTTGTTAGCGGCGGTATAATTATGGTTCGACCTGTGGCAAAGCAGAAAAAACATATAATTATGGGCTGCAGTGTGTGAAAAATAAGTGTAATAAGTGGTATCTACTGGCTTAAGAAAATCACTTGTGCCCATCGATATCTATGTAAGATATGGTATGCAATGCTTATGGCACTGCTTTCTAAAGTTTCCAAAGGATTTAGTCTTGCTGACAGTTCGTTTTTTACATCACTTATTCGACTTGCCACATTGTGAAAGGGTGTTAAAATTTAACATCTCGGCCAGCAACATGCATTAATACACCTGGGCAGCATTTTCACCTGTCAAGTACGTTCTTCTCTAGCGGGCTGCAGCTTGACCTCTCAGCCAACAATCAGCAGCAACAAAAGTGGCATGGTAGCATGAAAAATATTTATAAAATCCAACAATGCATTATCAAGCGGAAGTGCAATTATTCAACGTGCAATATTTTGCGGCAACTGGGCAGGTTGCCGTTGCCGTTGCCGTTGCAAGTTGCTGCTGCGTATAAAACCAGCAATTTCTAGCGTCAGCAGCAGCAGCAGCAACAACAGCAGGCCAAGGCTCTAATTAGTTTTGCAATTTCCACGCGTTTGCCGCAATTGCAAGGCCTCGCGTTTGTTGGAGCTCTCCAAACTTGGCCCAAGCCGTCGCTACTTAGCGTCAGCAACAGTTGAGCAGCTCCCGCGGACCCTAGACAAATATGCAATTAACAGTAGCTGCATAGTTGGTGCTTTGTTTTTGCACCATTTTGTATCGAGGAAATCGAGGATTGAAATGCCACAGCAGCCAATCGGGCCAATCTTGAAAGCAGACCAACAATTGGCCGCGCTGATTGCGAGCTACCAAAAGTGCCGGCCAAATATTTAGACATATAATTTGTGGGCGTGGCCAACGGCACAAAGTCATTGCACTGTTACCCTACGAAAAGAATTGCGACTGCAATAACTATGTAAACTACTTAAATGCAGCTGACAATAGCAGCAGCAGCAGCGGCAGTAAGAGTAAGAGTAAGAGCTGCGGCGGCATCGGTGGCGGGCATAAAAAGGTGCGTTTGCATTTCTAATGAACATGCTACGCACTTCCGCTTGCCAGCACGCCATGAATGATGGCAGTCGTAGGCCCAGCCCAGCCCGGGTACCAGTCCCGGTAACAGCTCTAGCCCCAGTTCCGGACACAAGCCCAGAGTTTGGCTCGCCTTCTCTGTCATATTTCGCAATACTATAATTTTGAGTCTTTGTGTTGGTTATGCGTCGCTGCAGCTGGAACGACGGGAAGAGAAATAGGGATGAGCAGGGGAATGGGAGCCCTATCGTTAAGTACATGTTGCGAGTATGACTCTTTAACATAAATCTCTCAGGCTTATTGCCCAAAGTTAACCCACACCATTTACATCTGGCCGTAATCAATTATCAGCATAATTAAAGAGACAGAAGTCGCGACGTCTCCTACTATGGCTACCACCCTCATACAAATTAATAAGCAGCAAGCATGTTGCGATTACGGCAACAATTTACAAATTAGTGCCACATGAGGCACATTCAACGACGCAACGAATAGAACCCGGCCCAGCAATTAGACGGCACTCAGTTTCTGGTGTCGCATTGGCCCGCCTCTGGCTGCCTGCCCCACCCTTCATCCGACACTTTTAATCGTTATACCCGGGCCGGGCAACTCGATGACCCACCAAACACTCGGCAGCCGCATAAATAAGGCGTCGGCATTAACGCCAACAGCGACGCTTATCTGACCCCTTTAAAAGCTCTATGTTTAAGTGATATAGAGTCTTTCGACTATTTCAATGTGAATGTGACAGACACTACAAGCGATGAATTTTCCAGCTTGACTTACCCCACTTTGCGTGGCCCAGTCTATCAGCACGGTGTAATTGTAATGATGAATCCATATTTGAAAAAGTAATTTATAGACCAAAATTTGTGGCATGTGTTAAAAATATTTGGCAAATACTTTACATATGAACTTTTGTTGCAACCTTCATTTAATTTGTGTTTGTTTTTATACCTTTGCCAAAGGTATTTTAATCTTGACCTAAAATGTGTAACATAGACCATTACGAGCTGTGCTTCTAGCATATGAATAAAGCCATATGTTAGCCTGATTGTTGTCCATTCTTGCTTTGAATGTGTAAAGATCACACTCATTTGCTGAATCGAATGTTTGCTTTTACAGATTCAGGGTATCTGCTGGTCGAGCATACACCACTATAGCACTCTTACTTGCTCTGAGCTGTACTTATTAAAAGTTTATTACAGCTTCAGTTGTGGATACAGCATTTTCCGAGTCATAAAACTGACTTTAACATTTAACGATGACACACCAATCAAATTTAAAAATGCCAACTGATAACATTGAGACGGCGGGTATCTGAAATAATAAGTCGACAGTAAAAGCTTTCAGCGCCCCAATAAAAAGTCGCACAAACACACGCTCATATTTACTTACATATTTACACATGTCGTTGACATTGGCTGGGAGCGATGTGCGTTACAATCATTTTTAATAGCTCATAAAATATCGCTGCCCAAAATAGAGAGCAGCAGCAACAAATGCAATATTTGTCAGCAATTAGGGCGCAAGATCAACAAATAATAATAAAAACAAAATATAATTTGTAGAATTCATTAGGGTGCCGCGATTGGGGGATTCCGGGATTTGACTAGCGCCCGCATCTGAACTTTCTGCTCGCTGACACTTGCGCTGCTTGTTGTAGGCGTTCTTCGTGTTTAATTGTAGGTTCAGTAACCTTTATAGCACAGCGGGCGACCGCGACTTTAGGACCATGGCCAGACCCAAAGCCAGAGTAAGGCTGAAGTCTAGGGTCGTCCGGTCAACCCTCATCATGTCCCCGGCACTCTCGCAACATGCGAAATCCCAACCGGAGCACAAACAGCGTTCATGTCATGCCCACTGCCGTAGGTAGGTGCAAGCAGCGGGAGATTGAAGGGTGGTGCGACCAGCACTGCTGACCAGCGGCCCGCGTCTAATGCGGAATGTCAAATGTCAAAATATATGGTGAAAATGTGTCAACTTTCTTATCTGATTCGGTCACGCTGCTACTTTATAACGCCAAATGTACGATTGTGTGTCGGGTGTTGTTGTTGCTGCTGCTACTGCTGCTGCTGCTGCTGCTGCTGCTGCTAATGTTGTTGCTTTTGTTGGCGTGCGTGCTTCAGCGCACAATAAGCGCTGGTGCCGTGTGGCGGAGGGCGGAGGACTAAGGGGCCGCCTAGGCGTTGGCGGGCGAGACCTGTTTAGAATTCAATTTTCATACAAACTAACCAGCCACGGCCCGTTACACGTAACCCGCTCCACAATCCCATTCCCAAACCCACTCCCATTCCTTGTCCCAGTCGGACCAACTATATTGTGAGTACTTTGGCTTCGGACCTATGCGCGCTCTGAGTTTGTAACACAAAAGGCCATGGAAGAGGTATAAAATAAGAAAAGGGCTTTACGATTGCGACTACGAAGATTAAATACCCTACGATTTATAAGCTTTTGGCTAATGCAATTACGTTTTTGAACGAAAATATTATTGAAGAAAATTCTTAGGAAATATTTGCAGAAATTTGGAACTCTCGAAATTATAATTGATTTCTAATTTGTTCTTCAAATTATTATTATACTTTCGAAATAAAAAGAGCCAGACAACAACGTTTAAAACAAAAGAAATATAATTGAATTGTATTAAAATAACATATAGTATCAAATGTAAGCTTTTCGGGATTGTACTCTAGGCCTTGGAAGAGTAAAAATTAAACGCATTTGTTTCTGATACGAGGCGGTTGGTCGACTGCAAATTAGAATTTTTCTGGGCGGCATTTGGTGGTGCGTTTAATTTATGTACGCAAGTGTTTTTATTAACTGAAGACTCCAACCGGGAGTTAGCGGTTGACTTTGATCTTCGAACCGTTAGCCAACTATGCAAGTAGTCAATGATAAAAACCTGCCTACGAAATTTTGCTCAGCCGTAAGTTGGGAAACAGGTTAAAATCCATTTAAAATTTTAGCCAGTTACTTGTTTAATTACCAGGCAAAAAAAGCTCACAGTAATTGAAAAACAAAAATCTTTTGACAAGCAACTCAATCTATTTGCAACATCAGATCATTTTGGCCCGAAGATCAGCAGTTAATGTTGCCAGTCGGTAGCTACATTCCCGTTAGGTTGCCCAATGCCAATCACTCACTTCTTCTGCTGACTGCTGCCTGCTGCCAAATTATGTAGTACCTGAACAGAGCTACTTAACAGCGATAGCCCACAAAGGCTGGCAGCACTTCAGGCCACAGTTCAAGTTTCAGTCCCAAATGCAGTCACAGTTGCAGTTGCAAGCACTGTCACTTGGGCATGCACAACACGCGCCGCATCGGGGTAAACGTCACTGCAGCGGCGACATCGACCCAAACGAACTTTGCCTAACCCCAAAACGTTTGACAAACAAAAACAGAGATCTCCGGCATCTTGAGCTGACAATCTGTAAAACTACGACTGATTCAGAGTCAGAGTCTGACTTAGATTCAAAGTCGAAGTTGCAGTCGCATTCGGAGTTGAAGTCAAAGCCTGTGAGCTACTTTGTAAAATGATGTGAACCAGTTAAAATGGTTGCTATCTGGCAGAGAAACCGCTAGCTGAGACAGACAACAGTCGAAACGACCATTTAAAGTATATTTTATCATTCATTCAGCTGCATCTGACTTGGACTTGGTCGAGCTGCTCATTATCATACAATGACATTTTGCTGCGGCAACTGTAAAATACAGAAAAAAAGAAGAAGAAAAAAAAAACAGCAACCCGAACCCGAACTAACTGCTGACTTGCCAGCGGTATCCATATATTTGTTTCATGGTGTTGTTGCTGCTGCTGCTGCTGTTGCTGGCAACTAAATTCCTTGCTAGCTGTTGCTGCCATTTCCCAGTTAGGTTGTGTTTTGACTGTTTTTAAGTATCTGTAAAAATTTCAAATGCATCTGATGGACAGCAACAGCAACAGCAACAGCA